AATGATTTTCACGCCTTCCTTCGACAGCGCCTTATATGAGACTTGCATACATGATTGTTTATCCACACACTACAATTTAAAATAAAATGCCACACTAGTGCGTACCTACTCGACTCCATAGTGTTTATTCTTTTACATCGCTAAGTTTTGTGTCATACAAATTGTTTGAACTGGAGCAAATCAATCCCAAGGATTAGGATTATTTAAATATTCGTCAAATTTATAAAAAGCTTTAATTTACGTTTAGTGAGAATCTTTTTATACAGGTTTCATGTTTCTCACTAGAGGATTCAGGAGGGCAAAATTACCCGGTAAATTCTATTATTAATAGAGATTACTCGCTTAATTGTCACATTTTGTACCTACAAAAATATCAGTGAAATATTGGTTTGGGGAAAAAAAATGGGGAAAAATCTTTAGTGTTTTGCAATCATATCCGAATAGTTCATAAAAAGAATTTAAATCGATAGAAATAGGAAACTAAAACAAAGTTAAAAAGTTTAGTCCCTGTGGCAGTGTAGCTTTAATGCTGGCATTTCCTCGCTGTATTGCGATACTTCTTTTTTGAGCGAGGATAACACAAGCTCGGTCACCGGTACTACCTGCCAGGCGTCAACTTAAATCTTTAATTAGCGCACTTGATCCCCACAGAGAACAAAATCAAAGTTAGAGGAAATACTTATATTTGAGCCGTTTATCATTTTCCGCCTTTTCCTTGTAGTTTATTGTGTAATTAAATTTTTGCTTACATAAAAACTTTTTGACTTCATATGAGCCATATTAAAGAATGTATGTGTTACCTAGCAAAAAGTATGTTCCAAAAAAACACAATATATAAGCACGCATAATGAAAAAAAATAAAGGACCCGTTATTGGGGGCATAAACAGAACAGTAATCGTTATAAAATCGTGTATCTTAATAAGAAATTTTTATTAGTATTATTTTTAAGAAAACCTGATAATAATACAGGTTTTGATCAAAACTCACCTATATCCAGACTGAGCATTCAGATAAACACTAGGTCTTGATGTCTATAGCTGCTCCCCTCACACTTTGAAATCAATTATCCTTTAGTTTTCATAAATTATGAATCGATGTATTTTTTATCTTCGTATTTGTTATGTGACTTACGAGCTTGTCACATTAAATGTTGTATTTCGTTATTCTTTATGTACCAATGTTACAAGCGTTGGCAAGCTTGTAAATAAGTAAATAAAAAAGGGTATTAGAAACTTTTTATGTTATGTTACCTTAAAACATATATATTAACTACATGTTTGTGTTTATGCTGTTATGAAAAAAATTGCATTAGTGTACTAATTGTTCTCTCCTAAAAGTTATGTAAAACACTTTAACAGGTTGTATGCGTCATGCATGTTTTTATTACAGATGCCAGCGATTCTAGATGACATTCAACCCAAGAAGTTTTTCCTCGTCTATCTTCTAGGAACAGATTATAGTAGGTGTATTAGAAACCAGTGGGAATCTGATTCCATGATCATTTCTCTTTTTAGGCAAGTAGACGGTTAACCTTTTGTGCCTAACTTACGCCGTCTTTTGGCCGATAATCCTTGTTATTTGCCGATGATGTGATAATTCTTTCAGACAAGTTTATGATCAGTCTTCTGTAGATTTTCTCCAACGGCATATCCCGTCGATTTTTAGTTTTTAGTCGGGCTGGTTTCTTCACGTGATCCGTTACCGTATCAGCACGTTTGACTCATGACCTGAAAATCGCGCAAGTTATAGTAGACAAGATAATATGTGTGCAATACAAATATGAATTTTATCCTGATAAAGATAATCAAGTTTGACCTGGATACCGGCCAAGGTTTCAGACTTCCCTTCCCTTTGTTAGCGAGTAACGTCATCTATCCTTAGGATATAATTAGAAATTGAATGTACAGTCACTTACAAAGCACAAATACATTACAAAAATAGTAATAACGCCAATCTCCAAACATTTGAGAACAAAGCTCACGAAACATGGAACCGATAAATAATCGTAATTAATAATTACGTTTTAAACTGGTGTGTATTTTCAGTATCAAACTCAAACTCAAAATAACGTATTCATATAGGTAAACGAAACTTATGAACGTCAACAGAAAAGATGTTAAATTGATCCTAAATTTACATGTACTACCAGTTCGCAAGTCAAGAGCGTAGAGCGGGCAAGAAGAGGCAAGAAACTTTCCGCTACTCTGTAATCGCAAAGTTTTGAGTCATACAAATAGTTTGAACTGAAGCAAATCAATCCCAAGGATTAGGATCATTTAAATAATCGTGAAATTTATAAAAAGCTTATTTTTTAATTTACGTGTAACAAGAGATTTGAATTTATTCAGTGATAATTTTATTGATGTAAAAAAATCTGATATATTAGACTTTTTTAGACATTTTATAGGCAAGTATGAGTCAAAGCTTAACAGCAAACTTCGATTCGAGGGTCTTAGGGCAAACAGGCAAAAAGCTCACCCAATGTTAAGTGCACGTACACACGGCCGGGATGTCGGCTATTTTCTCTATTAAATAAAGCAAATCTATTACATTTTAGTAACAGCCTTGCGATTCTGTAACTCACTTTTCAAAGTCTCACAGCGGTTTTCACAGCGGCGTTCGCGCTCAAATCAGTCGTAAAGCAGTCATTTTCGAAAAGTGAGTTACAGAATCGCAGGTACGGTACTGGGAATTTCTATCGTAAGAATTATCAATGGTCTAATTTTGATGTACAGGAATCATACTTAGTTAAGTCTCGAAGCTAAGCGGACTAAGCTGTAATATTGTTTTCAATGTTCTTTATGTTCTATAACGGTTGTAAGCTAATACGCGTGTTATAGTTAATGGCACGAACTGATATAATTTACCAGGAAACTACATGATTCTCGTAGCTCCATATTGTAATAATCTGAAAAATATTTACGGGCTTAATACTAGCAGCCGTTTCCGGCTTCGGACATTATATTAAAATTTTGCAAATAAATATACGAATCAATTTTAGTTTTTGAATTTCATATGTGAAATTGCAAATCTGCCCTGCGATTCTGTAACTCATTTTTCTGAAAAGGTGGGAGCTTGTAGTTTATTGTTTATTAGAATGCCAAATCATGAAATGACTGCTTCACGTCACTGATTTCAGAGCGACCGCCGATGCGAAAACCGCTGTGAGAGTTCGAAAAGTGAGTTACAGAATCGCAGGGCTGTAATGCTTGGTTTTGAGGTTCAATGCATTGTGCGTTGTTTTAAACGCCATTATCAACAAACGCTTTAGGCGTTACATAAATTAAAAGAACAATCGAACTTAGGTTTTGTCGTTAGATGGCGTCATTATAGCTTTACAAGTGCAAATGTCATTCAACTACTGCCAATAATTAAAGTCATCGGTTCTTATGACGAAAGAGAAGACGCATTAGTACATTAAAAACTTTTTCATTAAAATAAAACAAAAAAAGTAATAATAACATTCAGTTAATTATTAGGGATGAGTATGGTGGTATTTTCATGGAGTATTTGGGGCGTGCGTGTTTCGAATGAGTGTTTAGAGACCATTGTGCTATCCGGAAACATTTATTTAGGGGAATTTAATGTAACCCGAAAATACAAAGCATAACGTTACTTCTATAAGCCAAAATTTTATTATTTCAGTAGAATGTCTTCATTTTAAACTTCTTTCACATTGTCCCTTTACTATTGATAGTCGATTTTGATATCGAGGATTGCACTAAGCCTCACCCCTGATTCTCAGAAATTTCTCCCGTATATTTTAAAATGTAAAATATCTTTATCTAGTAAGTTTATATTATATTCGTATCTCTATTGTCAATAAATAGATATACAAATAGAAAAATGAATTACTGTAATTTATTTTGTTAAAAAAAATATACAGGGTGGCCAAAAAGTCGTGGATCAAACGCAAATAGGGCTTAGATGATGTCATCAGCTGCAAAAAATTGTTCTACGGGAGGTCTCTAAGCTCAACCCCTGCAGAGTTATAATTTATTTTGAGTTTTTATAAGAAAATTCACTTATTTTACTAATTCTTATTAAAATTCGTAAATATCTACATCCTAAATCTTAAAATTATACACACCACAACTCAAGATTGGCTGAACCGATGTTAGTTACTTATCTCTTTTTTGGTGGATTATTCTTCGCTTCGAATAGCAGAATAAGCAATAAAATATCGCATAAGTTATCGAATAACAATAAATTTAATAATTAATTTTACGAATGCTAACAGCATGTGGTGGCATCTGTTGATAAAACTACGCATCATCTTACACTGAATTCGTGTCAGTTCAAGAAATTCCCATCTTGAGGTGAATGAGGAGATGCATAACAAGGCTTTGATCTTGATCGAAGACATGTGTTCATCAAAAATTGTTGTAGGTATATCAGAAAGTGCTTTAACATGCAGTATCACAAATTTGGCGCAGAGAGAAGGCGAACCTTAATGTTATTCTAAATAAAGTTTAACTAAAGTTAACACGATATTATTAGATTGTTAGGCGGAACGACGTTAGTCGGATCAGTTAGTAGGTGCTCTATATTTGTGTGTTATTGAATATATTAGATTAGAAAAAATAACAAAATGAATAGGAAATCCTAAACTTATTTGTATGGAACTAAAGGTCATCTCGATAGAGATGCTCCCCAATGACCGTTTGTGATAACACCGATAACACCACTTGAGTGATCCCATTGGATCTCGATATTATAGATCAACATCGAAGTTAATAGAATATTATCGCGTAATGAAAAATAAATAACAATAATTAGCAAATGGGCAAAAGGCTCACCTGATGTTAAGTAATATACCGCCAATGGACACACTCAAAGCCAGAGGGCGCGAGTGCGTTGCCGGCCTTATAATTGTTACGATATATTTCTAGTAATTAATTGGAGTTAATATAAACGGAATAGGTCCTGTCCGGTCGAAAAAAAGGCTGTTTTCCTATTTAAAATATTCTTAAACAAATTCAATATTTCTTGTCCCCAGAGGGTGTTGCTGTCGGTCATCCTGGCTGTTCTGGTATTCAGCACAAACACGCACGCCAGGGATGTCACGTGAGTATTATTTATTTATTACTAGCCCTATGTAGACCTTTTCAGTAAACCCAAATTTCTCAATTCTTTTTATTTACCTACATGAAATTGAATTAGGAGGAACATAACTTGCATCGATTAGGACTTTAAGGAATAAATTAATTCAGCCCTGCGATTCTGTAACTCACTTTTCGAACTCACACAGCGGTTTTCGCATCGGCGGTCGCTCTCAAATCAGTCGTGAAGCAGTCATTTTATGATTTGGCATTCTGAAAAGGTGGGAGTTTGTAGTTTATTGTTTATCAGAATGCCAAATCATAAAATGACTGCTTCACGACTGATTTGAGAGCGACCGCCGATGCGAAAACCGCTGTGTGAGTTCGAAAAGTGAGTTACAGAATCGCAGGGCTGAAATCTAAAATACTCATAATTACCGTCACTTGTCATGACTTCGCGTTTATTTGACAATAGAACTGTATATGTATTTGCGTTATTCAAATGTTCCAAACTTATATATAATACCAGTTGACTGACTACTGAAATTTATATTATTGTATATTATTTGTGTATATTATTTCTAGGAAACATTTAAGTTCAATAAAAATAACTAGATCTACAATAATAAAAAATAGGGGTTGATCGTAGAGGGGTGAAAATTAAGGGTTGTATGTATTTTTGTATGATGTATCATAAAAAAAATTGTCGTTTGGGTTGAAAGATAGATTAGCCGATTCTCAGACTTTCTGAATGTGCATAAATAATTTCCTATGAATCGGTCGAGCCGTTTCGGGGGAGTATGGGAACGAACATTGTGACACGAGAATTTTATATGTATAGAGATAATACACACCAAAGACACACACACAACTTTACAAAAACAAATGTTCTTTGTCCTAAACTTTATTTAATAATTTTCGATTAATTAGTAATAATAAGCCTTTTTGATTTTTCGATATTAAAAATATCAAAGTCAAATTTTGTGTTGATTAATACTAATAGCAACAATGATACAAAAAGATATACTTCTCTCCAAGCTTTAGGTTTTATGTAAAGTAACTAGATAATTAGATATCTAGATTTTATAGGGTTGCAAGTTTAAAATGCAGTCTTTTGTACTCTAACTTAGCACGCGAAGTTACCTAATTTAAAACAAGACATTCATTATGCAGTTCGTACTCGGTTTAGGGCCGTTTCGTAAGTATTACATAACGTGTTGATAATTTAATGAAAGATTGAGAACTCGTAAACCTACATACTTATATAATTAGTGTGATAAATGATAATCGATTTAGGGATTTTAAAGCCAAGTTAAGCGTGCCTAATGACTTAATTGTAGTAAGTGAAACTCCATCCAACGTACTATCAATGTCGAAATCACGGCTAAAAATACAGGTACAATCGTCAACGATCGGTCACTTTCCGAGCGGCTTGATCCCATGGCGTTGAGTAGATGTGGGGTCTCTCTGCATCTTCTACCGCATTCACTATGGACGTTGTTCAGAGGAGTTGTTCGGAATAATTAATAACTGCAGCTGTGTTTTATCTTCGGACGTCGCAGAATTCAAAATTGACACATCGACGTCCGTCGTTCCACAACTGAGCGTTTTTAAGGCAGAACCAGCACCACTGAAGTATTTCCGTACCAATTCGACTTAGGGCCCTTCAAGAAAATAGTGTACCAATCCTTAGGCACTTGCGATGTTCATTCCATCACTTAACATCAGGTGAGCCTCCTGCCCCCCGTTTGCTCCATGTTATACATATATAAAAACATACACACATACCAGGCCCTACTACCATGGGTCGGGTTCATCCCCCTGAGACGACCATCGATGTGATGAGATTTGGTGTTGTGCTTAGGTCTTGGGTGTTTAAATATTATTTATATGTCTATCTATCTATAATATGTATGTATATCCGTTGCCTAGTACCCATAACACAAGCTTCACCAGCTTAGCATGGGACTAGGAGAATTGTCTTAACATACAGCATGTTCTGGTATTGGTCTAATTGTTCTCTTAAGCTGATAACCGATAGAATAGAAATCTTCGCCCGTGTTTAATTACAATCTAGGCTTGAGCTGTTTGATGTGAATTATTTGTGTTACATTCTAGATTTAAGTGTCTTTTTAAGTAAGTATTTTTCTATAAACTTTGAGTTAGTATTATTATTATGCATATAAACACACTAGCAGCTTAATAAGCTGATGCGCGCGTATTTTGAGATTTGGAGAAACTATCTATTTTTAAAGGAGTTCAGAGAGGGTGCACTGATTACACTTTCCGGAAGCCTATTCCAGTCGGCCACTACTCGGTTTGGGAGAAAGTTCTTTACGGAATTTGTGTTATGTTGAGTGGTTTTAAGTTTTACAGAACTACCCCTCAAATATGTATTTTCACTTAAAATAAAAAGCTTCTCAATTCCTGGAACATTTTAGTGGCCAGTGAGGATTT